CTCTGCTTCATTTTCTCCTTAGCATTTTCCACCTCCTAAACGATCTTGCTTGTTTATATACTTGCCTGTTTGTTCACTGTCTCTCCCACAACTAGAATATAAATTCCATGAGAACGGAGCTTTGCTTTCCTTTACCCCACAGTATCCCCCCAACAAGAACAGTAGCCGGCACATAGTAGTTGCTCAATAAATATTTGTTGAAGGGATAAATACTTGACCAGATAATCTTACAACAGTCCCATCAGGTAAAACAGAACACGCAGCCTGTCAGGACGTCAGGGATGTCGCATTCCCACCATGTGAGACTGAGGGAAAACTGAGGCACAGCCCAGAGGCAGCCGGTGGGCTGGTAATGGAGCAAATCCTCCATGGCTTGCTTCTTTCTGTTGTTCCACCCCACCTGTAGGTGAACACAGAAGAAAAGACAGGACACCACATGTGGGGTATATTTCTTTTCCCTTGAGAGGCTGAGGAAGGGTTAATACTGAGGGAGGGAGGATGTAGGTGGTTGTGGCAGCTGAAACCTGGCAGGTGATAGTCTGCTGGGATGAGACCCTCAGGTGACCTACAGGTGGCACCTGGAAGGTGACTGACAGGAGGCAGGGCCTTCTAGAAGGCTGGCTGGAGGCCTGTTTCTTCCTCCCACTTCCAGGAGCCCTCTAAGAAAATTCTAAAGGGCATAGATTACTCCTTGGGCCCTTGGAGAACCGGGAGAAAAAAACCAGGCCCAGGTGTTTGAGGGAAGGTGCTCCCAGCAGCCCTGGGTTCTGGGGATGCACCCCAGCCTTGACCTTAGCAGCCCTTCCCAACTCCCCTAGCACCCCTTCCGTTCTTCTTCCCCATTCTCGGTAGGGAGGATGGCAGTCAAGCATTTGGGGGGCATCGTTTGCCTCCCCATGCCCAGGATCCCTTCCTCTGCTTGAGGCTCTGCGTCCATATTCAAGAAAACAAGAATGCAGTGGATTCGGACTCCCAGCTTGGTCCTTGGCAGCTGTGTGTTCTTGGGGAGGTCACCCAGCCTCTCTGAGGTTGCTTTCTCTTTCAAAAAATGATACATGTCTTTCAGAGTAGTTGGAAGGATTCATTGAGACAATGTAAAAAGTCCAGAAGGTAATAAATGTTCAGTGTGTGTAAGTTAAATGTGAATCAAAATCCCTCCTTTTTTCTGGCAGTGTGAGCCTCTTTACTGAACAAAGGGAACGAAATATCCGATCCACGTCTGATGAGGGGAGGAGGCGAGAGCAGGATCTTTGGGGTGGGCGCATCCTGAGACTCTCTCCGGAGAACTGTCCAGCACAACAAAAGATAAGGTTCACCTCCCAGGGGTAAGCCCAAAATACGCACAAGCGCATTAAAAAAGTGAAACACATTCATGGGTGACAGATTCATAATGGGATTATTGATTCAAACACAGATCCTTTCTCTTTCCTGCATTTTCCAACCCCTCCCCAAAAATTGTTGCTGATGGCTGGGTGGTGACTCAGAGAGATGGCTAGCAGGGGAGAATGATTTGGCTGCAGCTGGTGCTGAAAGTGGCCAGCACTAAGGCAAAAGGGAGAGACAGCACCCTCCCTCCCCCGATCACTCTTGCTGAGCTTTAGCATCTTATTTGTGACAAGGGGGACAGAATTGACCTCTCAGTGATGTTGAATAGATTAAATGTGATAAGGGGACTGGGCCCACTAACAGTAGTAGTAAGAGCCATGATGTATTGAGTGCTCAGGGCCAGGTACCATGCTAAGTGCTTTAAAAATGTCACCTACTCCAATGACTGGCCCGAATTCCGTGAAGGCAGGAACTAGGTCTTTGCCAGTCCCAAGTACAGGATCCTCCTGCGTGCTACTAATAGGAATGAACGTTCATGGAAGCTTTATTTTGTAGCCTCATTTTGCACACCCATGGCGTAAACTTGTTTACTGTTTTCAACACTGTATGTTTCTAATCTTTGCGACAATTCTAAGTGGTAGGTACTACCATTATCTCCATTTTATGGATGAAGAAACTGAGACACAGAGGGCACAAAGAGATTAGATAATTTTCCCAAGGTCACCAAGCAAAGGATAGTGTGGGAGTCTGAACCCAGGCAGTTTGGCTTTGGAGACCATGCCCTGGACCCCTGTGCTAATTCAAGGGTCAAGAGATGCTCACAACCCCGTTATCAGGCTGTTTTATAGGTAAAGCAATCGATGCTAAGAGAGAAGTTAAATGATTGGCTCAAGAAGACCCAGGATTTGGGTCCAGTGTGATCAAGCTAAATGCCACTTCACTCCCCCAACCCCTGGGGCCTGCCGTTCCTTGTAGGGATCCCCCATCACCCACAAATGTCTTAAGCCTTGGTCTGGCCCAAGTTGGGCAGCTGTGGAACAGTAATAGTGACACTCCATAAGCTCCCAGTCAGGAGTCTGTTGGGGAGTCCAGCTCCCAGGGTGGGAATGGCTGTTGGCTGATGCCAGGCCCTGTCTCCAACTGCAGCTTTCAGCAAACGTGCCTCTCAGAAGGCCTGGGGTCGCTGCTGTCCCCAACATCCTCGGGCAGAATGGTGACTGTCTCCCCGGGGATTGGGAACTGGCAGCTTCAGACATGGGGTTTGGTCAAGAGATTTTTCATCCTCATCTCCTGGCAAGAGCCGACTTCATCACTCACACACTTGTTTTCCATCACTCACATTTGCCCATCGGCTGGCATCTGGCTCATCGTGGATGTCTCGTGATAAGTCAGGGACATGACAGATGCCATTAACATAACATCCCCATCCATCCTCCCAGGGCAGGCTGGAACAGAGAAGGGGCTGAGAGAGGGATGGAGTCACAAGAGAACAGCTTCTGACACCAGACTCATGTGAGGTTGGCTCCTCTGGCTTCTGCTGCTTACTAGCTAGGTAACCTCTTGGGGAACGTAAGTTTCTGCATCCATTAAACAGCGATAGAAATTCTTTTCTGGAAGACAAGGCCACCACTTTGCACAACTCCAGGGGGCACCATTCACATCGTTGTCTATGTGAGTGGTGTCACTTGGAACTCAGTTCGATAGAATACAAGGTGAAGGATGTCTTGAGATTGCATATCCTTGAAGTCTGCACCTTGCAAGTAAGAATTGCAATGCTAACTTTCAGATGTGGAGTCGAGATGCTAATAGAGTTGGTGTGAGGACCAGAGATGATCCCATGTAAAGCACGTAAAGGGGCTAAGACAATGTAACACAGTAGGCATGGCTTATTATGGGATAAGGAGGCAGCCCTTGGAGTGAATGGCTCCCCTCTTCCAAACACCTCCTGCGCTGTGAGATGCCCCTACCTAATTCCAGCTCTCAAGTGGACGAGAACAGAGGGGTCAGAGACCCGCCTCACAACATCCCTGTTAGCGAGGCCTAGTTTCCACGTGCTGCAAGGTCTCCTCTTACTTCTCAGTCTTGCCCCATGGCAGCCACAGAGGGTACCAGACACTGTGGCAATGGGCTGGGCATGGTTAGGGGGTTTCTCTCCATTTGGGGATTTGCAGCTGACTGGCCAAGAAATCCTGAATGGAATTTCTTCCTGGCCTGATTTTCCATGCTTTGCCCAAAGCAACTGACTCTGTCCTTGTCTGCCCTCATAGGGTGCCTTTGATTCAAGGAACATTTATTAAAGTCCTACTGTATGCTAGGCACAGTGGAGAGGGGAGCCCCAAGAAGAGTTAGCTGAAGTGGTGGAGTGCAGGGACTTAAGGGTCCGTGGTGTGTGTGTGTGTGTGAGTGAGAGATCGCCTTTGGTCATGACACTTTGGCCCAAGGGGGCTGTGCCCTTCTCTGAGTCCTCAAGCAGGAATGCTGTGGGAAACCAGTGGCTCCACTGCCATCTTTGGAATTCAGGCTTCGCTCTTGTATCCAGGTGACAAAGGCCCCACCCTGCCTGGAGCGATGTTTCCTGCTGCCTCTTCCCGATTTTCAACAGGCACCGCTGGCTGCACTTCTGCAGCTTCCAGTGCAGGAGTGGGTCAGAGGAGTCCCGTCAACTGGGGGAGGCAGCTCACCTTCTAATTGCCTCTCAGCCCTTCCTCCCCGTTCGCCCTCCCACCAACAATCCCGGCCTCTCCATTCTGTTTGCTCAATGAACTCTGAAGTACAGCAGGCCCCTCGCCTTGTCTGATTTACTGCCGGACCCCTCGCTCCTAGCTCAGAGCTAGTAGGTGCTCAATAGGTATTAGCTGAACGAATGGATGGAAGAATAAATAAAGTCCTTCCACGGAAGCTGGGCACGCTTCATGCTCACTCTAGGAAGATGTTCCCACCTCCATGGCTGTTCTCCAAAAGAAGTCATGGCTGCTCCTCCTCCTCAGCAGCGACCTGTATCCCTGACCCCTTGACCATTCGCTGGGCCAATTCTTGAGCTCTTATGAAGGAGGCACTGTATCCTCTGCTGGGGAGATAAGCCCTGAGCTTCCCCCACTCCCACATCTCCCTCTCCACATCCTGGCCCCACTGCTACCACATACTGCCCCAGGCACTTGCCCCTCCCCTGTTCTATCTTTTGAATAGGGGTCCCATATTTGGGCTTCTGTGACTCCGCCAACCTGTGTAGGAGTTGAGGGAAGGAGGTCTCCCAGTCTCTCCCAGTCTCTAGCCTCTGCCCTTAGCCCATCCTGCCACCTCACCCCAGGGACCTGGGGATCTACCAGGATCTACCCAAAGTCCAAGCCACTCTGCCTCCTGGAACAGCCCTGAACCTTGTTGTCTCACCCTGGCCCCTGGGGTCCCTGACCAGTGGGCATCCTGGAAAGCCCGCCCGGTGCTCGCCCCGAAGTGCCCTGGCCCCTCGGCACTGCCTGCTGCGGGAGCTGCCAGCTTTTTGGAATTCCTAATCGCTCCTGGCCCCGGTGATTGGCTGCTCAGCTCTGACCCCACTTGGGCTGCCGCCTGGTTGGATAAAAGGGGACTCTCCTTGGGGCTCCAGAGCATTAGACACCGGAGGGGGCACCTGGGACCAACTTCGCTAAGCGGGGAGCCCGGCGGGGGGGTGGGGGGAGCTACAGACCTGCGGCCTCAGCCCCTCCAAAGAATCGGGAGATGACGGGGAAAGCGGGGGAAGCGCTGAGCAAGCCCAAGTCCGAGACAGTGGCCAAGAGTACCTCGGGGGGCGCCCCGGCCAGGTGCACGGGGTTCGGCATCCAGGAGATCCTGGGCTTGAATAAGGAGCCCCCCAGCTCCCACCCGCGGGCTGCCCTCGACGGCCTCGCCCCTGGGCACTTGCTGGCAGCGCGCTCAGTGCTCAGTCCCGCAGGAGTGGGCGGCATGGGGCTGCTGGGGCCCGGGGGGCTCCCCGGCTTCTACGCGCAGCCCACCTTCCTGGAAGTGCTGTCCGACCCGCAGAGCGTCCACTTGCAGCCACTGGGCAGAGCATCGGGGCCGCTGGACACCAGCCAGACGGCCAGCTCGGGTAGGTGAGGGCGAGGCTGCGCGGCTGCCCGACTGGGGGTGACAGCCGGGAGCCCGCGCCGTCGGGACAAGGCCTCCTCCCTGCGGAAAAGTTCATGCCAGGCCGAGGGGTCGCAGACAGGGCCTGGGGCCGATGCGCCGGGGCCGGGGACCAGGAGGATGCTCCGGCGCCAGCCAGGTTTCGGCCCCAGCGTTTCCGGCGGCCGCGCAGTTCTCTGGTCCCCGCATCTGGCCCACCTTGGCCGGGCGCCCCACTAGGGCCCCACTGGAAACAGGGTTTGGAGTGTCGCAGCTGGTGTTGCAGGGTCTCCGGACAGGTTGGAGGGCCCCAGCTCCGCTGTTCACTGCGGCCCGGGCCTCCGGGAGGACCCGCGCTCCTGGAGCCCGATGCTGTTCGGCGCGCTGGCCGCTTGGGAGGCAGGTGCCGGCGCCGGCTCCAGCCCCAGCCCTGGTGTCCAGAGTTGTCTTTTTTCTCCTTTTTTCATTCCAAAACACTGCATTGGTCATCTGGGGTTTATTTTTCATCCCAAGAACTCGAACAACCCGGCCACCACGGCAGCCGAAGCGGCCGCCATCCGATCCCACGTAGGCGCCACAATATATCGGAGCCCGGCGACTCGCGGGCTCGGGGACCCTGGATGACCTCCCCGCGCCCTCCTGGAGCCGTTTTCCTGGCGGGGTGTCCCGGCCTGCGCGGCCCTCCGGCTTTTGTTGGCCCTTGGCAATTCCCCCGATTTTTCGTTTCGTTTCGTTGCATTTGCAACGAAAAGTGGCGCGTCGCAGGCTCTCCAGCCTCGAGTGGGAGCGCATTGTGCGGGCACTGCTAAAGGGACTGTGCCTGAGCAGCCCCAGCCCTTCCCGGAGCTCAGCTGCCCGTGTCTGGGCTCGGCTCTTTGGGGCCAACTTTCCGGCCCGGAGCGCCGGGGCTGCAAGCGCAGAGCAGGGCGCAGCGCCGGGAGCGCCACCCGGGGGTCCTGCAACCCCGAGGCTGCCTGGCTCTCCGCGGTCCCTGCCCCTGGCGCGCCAGGGCCTTTGCCTCTCTTACAACGAAATCTGTTCAAAACCTCCGATTCAGGCCCCGGCGTAGGGGAGGCCAGCCTGGGCTTAGGGATGGAGATGGCCACCGGGGGTTCCGGAGGGCTTCCGGGGAGACAGAGCAGGCCCCCGCCGCTCCGGGAGGAGGTCAGGGGTGGGGCCCTCGCGGGTTTCAGGCGCCCCGAGCGCGCTGTCCACTGTGCCGCATGTCCCTCCGCCCGCTTTTCAGATTCTGAAGATGTTTCCTCCAGTGATCGAAAATTGTCCAAATCGGCTTTAAACCAGACCAAGAAACGGAAGAAGCGGCGACACAGGTAAGGCCCCCCGCAGCGCGTTGTTACCTCTCCTGCCCACCCACCCGCCTGCCGTCCGCGGTTGTGGGCTTGGGTCACTCAAACCCTATTTTCGCTGACCCCAGATCTGAGGTCCGAGGCCGCGCAAGGGCGGAGTGACCAGGCGTTGTGTGGAGCCATCTGCCCAGGGCCGTGGCGTCCGCCCGCGCCGGGCGGCCGCGCGAAGCGGTACAGTTCCGGCTTTCTCCTCCCGCAGGAGAAAGGAAAGGCCCCAACCCGGGCCAAACCCGAGCTAGAGAGGGGTTGTCAGCCCCCAGGTCCCCGCGTCAGCACATCGGAGAGCCGCGCAGACCTGCGGCGGGCAGATGCGCTCCTACCTCGCGCCCGAGCCGGTTCCTTGGCCCCTCTGCCCCCTCCCCGCCCGGGTTTCTCTCCCGCGGTCCCTGTCCTCTCCGCCAACTCCCTAGCTTCCTGCCCCCACGTTCCCAAGGCTTGGGTAGTATCTGCGCCCATGGATCATCTTCTTTCGGCCGCTGTTTTTGTGATTCTGAGCGGGTCGCTTCCTTTCCGTGAGCCTCAGTTTCCTCGTCTGTAAAATGGTGGGGGGTGTAGACTGGATGGTCCCACTAGCCCTAGCTGCTAGAGTGGGGTGCATGCATTGGGGTGCAGACTAAAGACAGTTTAAAAACGTACGTCTTTAAATAGACATTACTCGCACGCAGTTAAAATCCAATAGGCATACCCTGAAAAGTAATCCCGCTTCCCCCGCCCCCGCCTCCAGGCCCTGCCTGCCTTCCGCGTGTGCACCTCTGCCACCGGTTCCTTGTAAATCTGTGGGAAGATTTTCGAGGAAATAAAGGAAGGAGAACCGAAAATCGGCCTCCCTTTCTGCGAGTGCTGCTCGCGGGAGCTGCCCCGCGCTCACCTCGGGGGCTGTTTCTTCCCGTCCCTCTCTCCGTCCCGATCCAGGCCGGGCGGCCGCAGGGTCTGGCGCTCTGTCGGGACGTTTCCCCGCTGGGAACCCCGCCCCGCCCGCTACATCCTTCTCTCTCACCCCAGTTTGTTCTCGGCCTCTCTGCACCCTCTCTTTCCTGCGCTTCGCTCCTCCTTGGCCCTCGGACACTCCACTGCCCACCGCATCTTTTAAAACGGCCCCTCCTGACCCCTCAGGTCCCAACAGGTTTTGGCTCGAATGAAGGTGAACTTCAACCTGGTTGCTCAGGGATCTCGGCTTATTCCCTTCAGACAGTTGTTTGCTTTTGTTCAGTTTGTTTCATTTTAAACGGGAACATTTTTTTCTGACCCAGTCCTGATCCTGGGTCCTTTTTTAAAACAAAAGCAAAACCAAAAACCATTCATTCATTCATTCAACGAATATTCATTAAAACACTTTTTGTGCACCCAGCTCGTGCTGGTCCCAGGCTGGGTGATCCTGTCAGCCTCTGCGAGCAGGGACAGGGACCCGTGGATTTGGAAAGCAGCCGAACTCCTCCTGTGCTGCTGCGACAATGGGCGGGAGGGGTTCCCTAGCATGGAGAGCCCTGGAAAAAACATCCCCAAACCCTGGGTGCAGGAACCATGTTTCTGCATCAGGACGTCTCATTGTGTGGCACTTGGAGCTGGGTGACCCATAGCCCAAAGTCCATGTTTCAGGTCCCTGACTCTCTGTTCTCATCTGCCACCCTCTTCATCAGGGAAATCTTTGGGGGCTTCGGTGGGTTCCCAGGGGTGCAGAACATTATGGGGACAACACCAGGGTATTAGCTGCCTTGGGTTTCTGTCTGTTTCTGGTGCATGAAGGGACCAGGTTATTGGAGAGGGAAGAATGGCTGCTGATGACCGGCACAGTCCTTATTAGTAAAAGATGCATTTTCCTGAGTTTCTCTCATTTGGGGATTTGGGGTAAGAGACTCCAGAATCTGATGATGAGAGATGGGCTTGTCTCTATCTCCCAGAAACAAACCAGGCTTAAAAGCACTTGCAGGTGGGGTGGGGGTGAAGCAGCCATGGCGACGGAGTCTCAGATTTTGCTCTTCTCTTTACCCGGACAGCTCAGCTCCTCTTCAGGCAGGTTACAACATGAGCCCGAAGGTCTGGGGTTCTGTTCCAGCCAGAAACGGAGGTTGGGTCTCGTTTTGTGGGGGAAGGAAACTCTCACTGGAGAGCAAGTGGCATCAATAGCGAACCAGCACTGAGGCAGGAATTAGGGGAAGTTTGGAAGATTTGAGTTGTTTTCAGTAGGGGCTCTCCCAAGTACAGGCTGGCACTTGAATAGTTCTAGACGACATATAATCAGCTCTCCTCTTTGGCCAGGCCATGTCACCTGTGTGCCTCAGTTTCCCTGGTTTTAAAAGGGACTTGCTTTTTTTTATTGTTTATTTTGACTCTTTGTTCATAGGCCCTTCAGCAGGTGAGAAATAGAAAGCAGGGGATCCTCAAAATTCTAAAGCATTAACTTTCCGTATACATAAGCCTTCCACATACCCCCCAAGAGAATAGGAGAAACGATTAAGAATCAAACCAGTCGTTTTCTATAAAGAGCACAATCTTTTTTCCTCACACACCTCCTGCATCATCCCCCAAGATATTAAAGCTGACAAGGAATGTGTGGGGTTTGTACTTTTTGGTTGTGTTGGGTGAGAGCACAGCAGTGAAGGGTGCTACACCTCTGTGCTGGGGTCCAAATCCCAGGGGCTAAGCAAGGCATGTAACAGTTTTACAGTTCAGTTTGTGGAAACCGGATTGTATTGCCCGTGGGCTTGCTGATGAGGGTCTAGGATAAAGGTCTCCTGAAACCTGGTGACGTTAAGGTCTGGAAAGAGAAGAGTTTGTATCTGTAAGTAGATGTTTAGTGGTTTATTCAGGAAAGGAGCATCTATGAATCTCCTAATATCAGAGGCAGGATTTTATGTGTTAAGAGCATATGCATTTGCACATTTTCCTGGGGTGACAGAACAACGTAGCTTTTACCAGATTCTTAAAGCAGTTTATGACACAAAATAGGTCACCGTGAACTGCTCTGTAGGGGTAGGAGGCTCACTGGATGGCCTGAATGGGCCCCTCCCCAACTGAGTGGCGGAGTCTGTGTGTGGGAGGGTTGGAAGGTGGCCCTTGCCTTCTGAGCACCGGAGGGGACAGGGAAAGATTCTAGGGCAGCTCTAGGGAGCTGGTGTCCACGGTGGTGTCAGAGGAAGGGCAGGGGAGGAGGAGGGGATGTGGAGGGGAGTTGAGGGAGCAGGAGATTCAGTTCTCAGCCACGTGAACCCTGAGGTTGAAGCTGCATTTGTCTTTCTGGGGAATCTTCGAACTTTGAGTGAAATTAAAACGTCCGACTCTAGTGTCTGTGAGAGGAGCCCAGGAAGCAGGTGTGGGTGGGGCTGCAGTATTTATGGATCTGCTGGGCTCCTCCGCTCTGCGCTTGGGAGGAGGAACAGGGGCTTTCTGCATTTTTTAAAAATTTCCTTTCTAACACCCTTTCCCCCAGAGCACCGCCAGAAAGATTCCCAATATGAAATGTCACTGAGGGCTGAAAGAATGCCCATCCTGCCACCAGAATTGTAGTGTGGGCCCTTGGCCTTGAATGACAGCCTTGTCCAGAGGGTTACACTGTGAATGTGTGTGTGTAGACATATGTGTGTGTGTGAGAGAGAGAGAGAGAGAGAGTGTGTGTGTGTGATTGTGTCAGATCGTGCGGAGCCAGCCTGGGTTTGGGGGTCTGTCCAGGAGCCGCAGGGGAGGGCCGCTCTGTTCTCTCTGAGACAGGCTCTTTCAGTTTCCTGGGTCCTGAGTGTCTGGTCTTGCTCCCCTCAGGACAATCTTTACCTCCTACCAGCTGGAGGAGCTGGAGAAGGCATTCAACGAGGCCCACTACCCAGACGTCTATGCCCGGGAGATGCTGGCCATGAAAACGGAGCTGCCAGAAGACAGGATACAGGTAACAGCCCTGAGCCCCTCTCTCCCACGCTTGCCCCTCTCTCAGGGACATCTGCCACCGCAGGGTCCCAGATACCCATGACTCCAGCTGCCACGCCCTGCTATGGGCATGTGCTTGCTGGTGACCATGTCCTCACGGAGAGCAGTTCATTTAAGCTGACAGGTGCTTGGTGAACACCTACCATGTGAGGTGGGCACTGCAGGGGGTGGGGGGAAACCCGAGGCTTAGCAGGTGCGGCCTGGCCTGCTGTTCCAGACTGTACGATTCCTGAGGAGTGTGTCAGACAGACCCTGAGGGGCCTGGTGGTGAGAGATGGGTATTGCATTGGTCCTGGGTTCTGGGCAGGGTCTTTGTGGAGGTGGATGTCCCCTCAGTACAGCTGAGGTAGCCCCAGGCCTCTGTGAGTGGCTGTGAAGGGGAAGGTGGCTTCTAGCCCTGACCCCAGTTTGCTTCCCTTCCCTCCCCCTCCTCCCCATGAGGAAGGTGTGCCCCTCCCTTCCCACCCCCTACACTCATCCACCTGAGGCTCCTTCCACCCCTCACAGCCCAGCAGCTGCTGGCCATGCCCTGAGCTCCTGCGCCTTTTCTTCTCCCTCTCTGGCCCAGTGTGTGGCCTGGGACATGTGCCTGGTGTTCTCACTGAGTCCTCCTCCTCTCCTGGGCAGTCTGGGGAATAACCAGCCGCTGAACTGGGCGGCACGTGCTCAGCTGTGGTGGGCACGGGGCCTCCTCTCAGTGGTAGCAGGGCCTTCCCAAGTCCAGAGTCCCCTTGCTGGGCAGGGGGCCGCAGAGTCATTTCTCTGGGAGAAGATGGAGTCTGCTGGCTTTCTGGGCAGGACCTCCATGAGGTGGAGAGTGGGGTGAGAGGAGCATTTCTAGAGGATTTGGAGTTGCCTTAGCTAGAGCTCAACCTTAAATGAAAGCTGCCCCCACTCTGAGTGGTCAGAGAGTAGTTCACAGCAGAGCAAGGGAAGGCAAGGGCAAGGCCCCAACCCCCGAGACTGCTGCTCTGCCTCCTCGGCAAGGTCCTTCGTGCCTCCCCTCCCTGTGTGAGTGTGCCTGGAAGGTGGCCGCAGCCCTAGAGAAAGAACCAAATGAGGTGTGTAGGTTGCTCTGAATTCTCACTGGAGGACCAGAGGATGGGAAATGAGGCCTTGAGCTGCTTTTCCAGAAGGGCCTTCCTCTCCCTTGGAAATCTGTTTGGAATTTCAGCCAATGGCTTTAGACATTGACACTAACAATAAGCTCAATTATTCATAAGCAGATTATGTTTGGTGCATTACTCATGGTGGCCTGGACCCGTTACCCTCCACCCAATTGGGTTCTAGTGGGGTGTGCTGGGTGTTGATTCTGCATCGTGTGTGTGTGTGTGTGTGTGTGTGTGTGTGTGTGTGTGTGTAAGCCAAGGCCCAGTCCAATTGTGTGGTGATAACCCCTGCCTTCCCTTCATTAGCACAAAGTTGGCCAGGACAAGTGGCTGTGGAGGGAGGAGGGCTGACAAATTCTTGTTGTTGGCAGCCCACATTTACATTATTGACCAGTAGGAAGGAACCGCTTGTTTCTTGCAGTAGGTTATCCTAAAATCTGTTTGGCTCTGGGGGGGTGGGGGCGGGGTGTTTGAAACCTGCTGAGCTCAGGATTTGTGGGAAGGCTCTCCGAGGGCTGTAACTGCATTGCTACAAATGCCCCAGCAAGTGCATGCTTGGCTTCCTTAAGTTGCCTGGAGGTTGTCTGCAGGGTGGTGTCTGAAGCCACCAGAACCAGCGCAAAGGAGCCAGGGGTGCGGAGTATGGAGAGCTCGTTGCCCTTGGCACTATGACGATTGGCTCTGTAATTTGTACTTAGAGGAGAAATGGGGCAAGACTCTCTCAAACCCTTTGAGCACCACCTGGCTAAATGCTGCCCCCAGAAAGTATTTGTGCGTTGTTGAACAATCTTGCCCCAAAGTGTTTAACAAAGTGGGAAAGATCTTGGTGTGTATCAGTAACAATCACAGCTATAACTTCCAGAGCAGTTTCCACGTGCCAAGTATTCTCCTGAACATGTGATGAGCACAGGAGAGGCAGTGGGGAGTAGTGGTTAGAGTCACTGACTCAGGGTTCATGGGTTCATGGCTGGGCTTCACCTTCCAGAAACTCCTAGTCCTCATCTGTCCAGTGGGGGTGACAGTGGCACCTGCCTCTCGGGCAGATGCAATGAGCCATATGTGTGCAGTGTTCAGGGCAGTGCCTGGCACGTGCCCCCTGCTCACTCGGTGTCAGCTCTGATCTCATTAAATCCTGGTGACAACCAGAGGGGTAGAGACCATGAGCTTCCTTTTAGCACCAAGGTAGCTGAGGCATCACAACTTGCCCCAGGCCACACAGCTAGAAAGTGGGGGATATAAGACTCCAACCTGAGGCTGGGCGAGGTGGCTCACGCCTGTAATCCTAGCTCTCTGGGAGGCCGAGGCGGGCGGATTGTTTGAGCTCAGGAGTTTGAGACCAGCCTGAGCAAGAGAGAGACCCCCGTCTCTACTAAAAATGGAAAGAAATTAATCGGACAACTAAAAATACATAGAAAAAATTAGCCGGGCATGGTGGCGCATGCCTGTAGTCCCAGCTACTCGGGAGGCTGAGGCAGAAGGATCGCTTGAGCCCAGGAGTTTGAGGTTGCTGTGAGCTAGGCTGACGCCACGGCACTCTAGCCCGGGCAACACAGTGAGACTCTGTCTCAAAAAAAAAAAAAAAAAAAAGACTCAAACCTGGGTCTGAACCAAAAGCCCCCTTTTACCACCTGCCTCTTGGGTTTTAAGTCTTTATTTTGCCTTGAAGCTGGGAGAACAGAGGTGATTTGAAGTCAGTGGCAGGGGGATACATCACAACTTCTTTATAAAAATAATCAATATTTATTGAGTACCAGGCCACTATTATTTAAAAAAAACAGACTTCAGGTATAACAAAATTATTTTTTGAACGGGCAAATTCATGTAAATGAGTTTGAAAGGGTAAAAAATGAGTCTCCCCCCACCCACCCACCAGCAGCCCTCCCTTAGTAACCAGCGTCCTTTGTTTCCTTCCAGGGATAGTTTATGCACATTCAGCAAAGAGTCCTCAGAGCACCGTGAGCCAGCTAGGTTCTACAGTTCCATTTTACAGATGGGGAACCTGAGGCACAGAGGCCAGAATTCAGACCTGAGTCCTTTTAGACTCTGGAGCCCTTGCTTCCCTACATTGCTACTTTCCTCGCCATTTCCCCTCAACATGTTGCTAAGGTAGGGACAGTGCATCTAAAGATGGAAAGCTGCCACTCCGGAGCCAGGCCCGCCCCTGACCCCACTTTGGGTCAGAGGACTTTGCGTGTGTGTTGTGGGCGAAAGAGGGGGAAGATGAGGAGTCATTAGAGGCTCCAGGTCTGGAGTTAGATGTTCTCAAGGTGGAATGAAAGTTTATTGGACTGGAAGTCAGGTACCCAGATCTTAGCTCTGGCTCTGATACCCACCGGCATGGCAGAGGCCAGGCCACTTCCCATCTCTAGGCCTCAACCTCCTCACCTGGAAAAGAAAGAGGTGGAGTCCCTCCCACGGAGGGGTCTCCTCAGGCTCAGGTCCCCTCAACAGCCCCTGGGCTGCCATTGGTGGAATGGGGGTGCAGGGCAGGTGGACAGCTTGGACATACATCCCTTCTGGGCCAACCTGAGCAAACCCCCTCATATGCCTGAGGTCTACTGTCGAATGTCTAATGAGAACCCACAGCACAGACATGAAAAGTCAGATATACTTACTTCTAATCTTTCCCTGCCGGCAAGCCAAACTCTGAGCCCCTCAAATTACTCATTTACAAAATAATGATAATAATATTTTCCAAAGTGCTAATTTTACAGGTGGTGTTATTACTGGCATTTATTCAGTATGCACCAGTGTCCCTGATAGTAAGTGCTTCCCATGCTTCGTTTCATTTAATCCCTCACCACCAGATGAGTTAGCTGTCATTCCTGTACCTATTTTCTGGACGAGGAAACTGAGGGGCTGAGCGGTGAAGTAAACAGGACTGGGATTCAAACCCAGGACTCGGCTACCACCGCATAGATCCCAGAGTAAACAGGAGTGCGTCTCTCTACAAACTGTAATGATGCAAAGGGCAGTGGTGATGGCCCAGTCCCAGCAGGAGGGGACGATGTCCTCTCCTCTGTGCTTCAAGGATGAGCACTTCGTCACTCTCCATCTCTCTGGGCTGGGGATGGAGGCGTATGGTGCAATGTTAGGGAAAGAAAAGATCCCACGTCTCCATGTCAGACTCAGGCACAGTCCATTTTTTGTGTGTGTCTCCAAAAAAAAGTATGCCAGGATACAGCATTCTGGAAGCCCCTGCCAGATGTCAGCCTTAAGGAAGAGGAAATGGGTTTCCAGACTGACTTTATTTCCTCTGTGGGGTCACCTGTTACTAAAATTGTAAGGTCAGGCTATATATATCCACTTATTTGTTTACTGTATTTTTTTTCTGACAAATGTCCTTGTTATGAAAATGCAAACATCACAGAGCTATGGAGTGCAAAGTGAACAGAGACTGCGTTTCACCCCACTCTTAGCAGCTTCGTGTGTGTTGAAGTGTGAGGTTGAGGTTCTCTGACTGGGACTGCTCAACTTTGCCTCTTATAAAGTGGTCCCTGCCCAGGGGTAGGGGACAAAGTGCTAAGGGGTTATATTCCAGAAGTAAAAAGACAGGTGCCTGGGGGGGGGAAGCGTTTGCAGTGAAGCTCAGTGCAGGATGTTTATTAGAATCACCAGGGCAGATTTTTAAAATACCCACGCGGGGCCCCCACACCCAGCAATTCTGGGTTGAATTGGTTTAAAAGTAAACACCTGCATGTTGGCATCTGTATGTTTTAAAATCTCTGCAGGTGGTTCTGTGCGAAGTCAGTATAAAAACACTGGTTCGGAGGCTCAGGATAGGTGTTTCTGTGTTCTACGTGGGTTAATATGAGTGGAAAAAAGTGGAGTTTTGGTTGATGGGTGGGGTGAG